AGAAAGGGGAGAAAAAAACAGAAAGCTTACTTTTCCCATGCCTCCAAAAAGGTAATATCCAGTTTTGAAGACCTTGAGAGTGGGATTAATTAGCTATATAATTAGGCAGTATTTTAGTCCATTGTTCTGTTTTAACAGAAATACCTGAGATTGGGTAATGTATTAAAAATAGAAAATTATTTAGCTCATGGTATTGGAGGTCCGAGGTCAAGGAGCCACATCTGTAAGGGTCTTCCTCTTAGTGGAGTTCTGAGAGAGATCTGGGCATTGCATAGTGAGGGTAAGAGCAGACAAAGTGAACTGTTTGTATCTCTGTGTCCCCCTGCAAACCCACAAGTATCCAACCATGGGGCTCTCACTCTAATGCCTAGTCACTTCCCAAAGGCCCCACCTCTCCAATCATAGTTGGATTAAATTTCCATCCCCTTAATCACAATAGCAACCAATCTTAAACAGATTAAGCTTTGGTGGATACACTCAAACTGTAGCGAGTCACAAATTTAATTTGTTTTTATTTCATATATAAGTTCCAATATAAAAATATGTAAGAATACCAGTAATGGTGTTTAGAGAACTTCTCTAGATAACTACTCTAAGGTATCTTCCAATTTGATAATTTTTTTTTTTAGAGAGGTTTTCGCTATAGAGCATGTGCTCTCACCAGACAGACAGAGAGAGACATAGAGACAGAAAGCGAGAAATCACCCCCCAGGGGGCATGGCCATGCCGCAATTCCTTCTCCTCCATTCTCCTCTCGGGATCTTGGGCACGCAGGCACATGCGCCCGGCTTGAGTTTTAAGCCACCAGGTCCAGGACGTGAACCGCGGTTGACTACGTGGGAGTCTAGCAACATAGCCATTACGCTAACTGCTGGTTCCCCCAATTTGATAATTTTATGACTCTAGGAATTTTTCATTATGAACTCTGGAATAGACTTATCTAGTCCACTTAATAATGTCAGGAGAATCTTTTGTATAAATGGTAGCTGCAGTATTATCTATTAGTGAATATTAATGACTATTAAAAATACTGCTATGACCATGTTGGTCATTCACAAAAAGCACCTTGCTAATGATGTGTTGTACAGCGATTAGCTGTCATTAGAGAATGATTTCAGAAAGCATTATGCAGGGTCTGCAGTGAAGAACGAAGACCAGATTTATTTAGTACCATCCAATGAATTCAGTGAATACCAACAGTACATAAATATTTGAACTCTTGAGAGTATCAATTCCTTTAGCATACTATACCTCACTGAATGCACTGAAGAATGAATTCTAATGATTTCATCTTGGTATGAAACTGAACTTCAGTTTACAGAAGCTGCCAGGATTCACAGAGAAACAGCTCTGGTATGAGAGAATTGGCTTAGAGATCTCGATTCTCTCATTTTGTAAGTAATGCTTCAATTCTTAAATGTGGCATCATTTTGGGGTAAAAGCAGTTTTAAATTTGTCAGAGTCCTCCTTGTTTTTTAAGTGAAGTATCATAAATAGTGTCATTGAACTAAGCCAGAAGTGGGCTTAGAACTCAGTTCCAGGGACTTTTATGGGATATATATGTATATACTCATATATATATTTAAAAAAAAACCTATTTCTTTGTTTTAGAGAAAATTATTTCCCCAATTTTTAAGTTTCTTGTTTGATTGTTAGGTTTTCTGTGAATAAACTTTAATGTGTGGAGTGGCAGTGGGAAACTGTGCAGATTAAAAGGTAGAGATTTAGCCTAATTAAATATGTAACAAATAATAATAGAAATGGAGAAAGTAAGGGAATGTGAGAAGGGAAGAAAGTTTTTTATGTAATCCAGCCTGTCCAGAATTAGACACCAGGATACAGCCTTTCCACTGTTTTGAATCATCACATTCTCGTTAGCTTCTGTTTCTAGAACAGGGTGGGGAAAAGCCACTGGAAACACAGTCAGGTCTCTCATCAGCACAGTGTTTGTGTTGACACACCTATGAAAAATTTGTCTCTCAGAGCTCCTACTCCACCTGATACACCTTGGGCTGGTCTCGCCTGGTTTTGAGTCTTATTATGCTCCCATTCTACTATTTTCTATAAATGGGAAGTACTGAAACTGATCCCATCACCAATGACACCGAAAGATTCAGTTTTGTGGTTTGAGAATTACTCTAGATACCAATAAAAGCAAGTCTTCATCCTCAAAGAATCTAGTTTCACAATCCTTCTTTGAGAACTTATCTGTGGCTTGGGCTTACCAGAACAGAAGTGGGAGAATTGAATTTCTAGTGTGAGTATCACTCATAACCTTTGTCACTAACTTCCGTTATATACCTTGTATTAGCCACAGTGACGTTCTCACACATAAATTCCACAGCAGGATGGTTGGAACTGTTTCTATCTGAATTTCTACAAAGAGTCTAGAGCCAGCTGACCACCACTGGGCCTTGGATCTAAGAAGTCATCTAATGTAGAGTGGAGTGTACTTCTGGAGGCTACCCAGAGTAGAAAGCCAGCATTTCAAGTCCGAGCCAATTTCCCGAAGGAGGTTCAAGAGTTGGTGCCAAAGAGAACAGATGGAAACTCAGAGTTCAGGTTGTGCAAGTGCCAAGAGTGAGGAATGAAATAAAACTTGACTGAAGTGAGAGCATTCAGGAACAACTGAGAATGATCTAACTAGAATGAATTTCAAATACTGCTGGCTGTCCAGGGCTGGCAGAGGGGGAAAGGTAGACCTAAGGTGTATTAATGTTGACAATTTCAGACCATTCAGTTTAAGTTAGAGACTATGCTAGACAAGCTATTGAGAGGGATGGGAGCGCCAGTAGAAGGGTAGAAGAGGCTGCGGGAGTACCCAATTTTATCTCTTAAATTCTCTGTTTCATGATTCTTCTATTGCATTCTACTTTGCAATATAAAATGTTTCATAAATATTTTTGATGTTGTGATGAACATAGAGAACACTCTTGTTCCTCCAGTTTGTTACTTTATTAATTACTTTAGTCTAAGACAAAGAAGGAAGAAAATATATAGACTTAATTACATGAAGAAAAAAATTTAAAAACAATCTTTTAAGAATTTAGTCTCTAGTGGAAAATAGCTGTACTTGAAATACTATACCACAAGATGGTGCTCACACATTGAGGTCATGAAGCCACAACATGCAACATTATGTAGTTATCTGTTTTTTCATTGTTTGCTATAAGTTTCCTTAGCACTGAACTGTAGTGAGTTTTAGAATTTAAGCTTATTAGCTAACATGCCCTTTTTTGGAGGAAAAGAACAGCAATTACACTTTTTTGTTTTGCTTTTTATATGATATAGATCTTTCATTATATAATTTTTGATATATCAGGTGAGTCAAAATGTGTACTTCTACTGTGCTTATTTTTTTTCTCTCTTTTGTTTCCTTTCGACTCAAGACAGTACAACATAAACTAGCAGAATTAAAAACGCACATCTGTGTATCCAGAGCTTTTATGGACAGCTGTCTCCAGCTGCATGCAAAGAGAAGTCTGGACTCTGCCACTGCTTCCATGGCAAAATATTGGTATGCGTGCTACAGTCATTAACATGCAGTGTTTACGCAGACTGTTATGGATTTCTGCCAAATTCAAATTCAGACTTGAGGATCTTAAAGGAAGAAGTCTTTGTAAATTAAAATATGGCAGCAAGAACCAACTTCTTTAAAAAAATACTGAAAAGTCTTATAAGCCTATTTATAATGTGCTAAGAATGACTTGAGTTGGCACTTAATTCTTAACCTGTTATTAAAAATGAAATATGAAGAGACTGAAGTAGGGTGACTGATTAGTTCGTTCACATAAGAGTTTAATTTCAGATTATCTGCTAAGTGGCAGCGTATAGGGCCGTGTAGTGAGGCTGAAAGAAAATAGTACAATTTAAGAATTTTGAGTTAGAGCCCCAATTCTTTCATTAAATGAGTATAATTAAACTTAATTCCTTTTGGGACAAGTTTTTGTTATCTGTGAAATGACTAGGTTGGACGCGATTTTTCTATTTAAGGCATTTTCCAGACCTAGGGAAAAAATTCTTAAAGTACTGCCTGTATAATTAAAAGTTGTACTTGTTCTATTAAGTAAAAGGGGAAAAAAACGTCCTAAGAAGTTTCGAAAGACTTTCCTTTGAATGAAAGATGATTAGCAATGATGTTAAAGATGAATTAATTGAAAAAAGTCCCCCAGAAGGCTTTTGTATTTTTCAAAATGCAGGAACTTACAGTCTGTATTGGCTTCTGGAAATGGATTTGGTTTTTCTCTTTTTAAAAACAAACATTCTCATGTCTCATTAACCCAAAAGTAACCTCGAAAAAATTCCCATCATTATTCATTAACTTGTGTTCAGTTCAGTCATAAGTCGAGTAGGGGAAATATTTGGTGCTTTATGTAATGATTCTGTAATAATAAACTTGCCAGGTTGAAAAGTAATGTGGACTTACTAGGAACTTCACTTTAGGGTGAAAGCTTTTTACATTTACCTTTACAATAAGTTCTTTGACTAGTGGAGAAACAAGTATAAAAATAAAAATTAGATTATTTTGGAAAAAGAGAAGTTTGGACAGCTATTGACCTCATTGTTTTTTGAAAACAGCAGTTTTATTAGACAGTATCATATTCAATGTGATATTTCACATTGAAGCAGAGAAAGCAACTAATTATAGCTAAATATTTCACCAAAATACTTTTCAAATACAAAAGAAAAAGATTAAATTCCAAATATTATTGCCTCCAGAGTCTTGTTTGTTAAACATTACATTGTTACTGTATTTCTCAGGAATATCTTTACCTATCCTATGATTTGAGTTGAAAATGATTTTAAATAATTTTAAGTATCTATGTTTGTCTTTGTTTTATGTTTTCTACTACTGAAAAATCAATAAAATATTTTTAATAAAAATTGTTTTCTCTTTGGGACCGCCAGATGATGCAATGGTTACATTATGCCACATAGTTGACAGTGGTTCGGGTCCCAGACCCAGAGGCTTAAAACTCATGCCAGGCATGTATGTCCAAAATCCTGAGAGGAAAATGGAGAAGGGATTGCAGCATGGCCATCCACCCTGGGCGGTGATTTCTCACTTCAGTCTCTTTGTCTCTCTGATGAACACATGTGCCCTATAGCAAAAATCTATTTAAAAAAAAAAAAGGAAGAATTTTTTTCTTCTATTGTGTAGTTGGTGCTTGTGTGTGTGTAAGTCTCTGTTGTTTTAAACAGGTCTCTCCGTGTCGTTAACCTCATGCCTCAGTCTCCTGAATAGCAGGGTGAGACCACAGGGGTACACTGCCATGCCTGGCTTTTTTCTTTTTTTCCTAGAAAATTTTTAAAAGAATTGTCTATCTAATTTTATTCATTATTGTTTTGTTGTGTTTTAATTTGCTATAGGGCTTGTGTGCTCACCAGAGAGAGGCAGAGAGAGAGGGACGGTGAGAAAATAAGCAGCCAGGTCTGGGACTGGAAATGTGATCAGCCAGGTGGGAGGTCAGCCTCTTAACTACCTCTCCATCTGGTGGCCCTATTTTTTTTTTAATTTTTCAGAATTTTGAACTAACATATTTTTATCTTGAGATGAATAAAATCCCTACCTGTTATCCTATGGATTTTAATAATTAAAATTCGGAAGATTTATTGCTGAATGAAGCAAGCCAGGCTATGAAAGAGAGACAGCGGATGTCATGTCTCCACTTAATATATACTGACTGCAGTCTATGGTGGAAACTGAAAGATTAGAGGATATAGAAGCATGGAAAATGGTTATGGATACGGAAGACACTGTGAGAAGAGGTTGGGAGAAGGGGAGAGTATGAGTAAAAGAATCAAGGGGAAAACTAGAGCGGCAAGACATTTATGGGACACAGAAATGGATGATTATCTACTGATGATAACATGTATAGTATCTTCAGCTGGACTGGTGTGAAGTGTATTCGTGTTAGGTAAATTTACTTCACAAGCTGTAGTAATGTATAGTGATTAAATGTATAAAATAAATTAAAATAATTTTTTAAAAATTGTTGTGATAAGCCAAAGGAGAATTTTTGTCAAGTACTTCACACACACACACACACACACACACACACACACACACATACACACACATACACACACATTTGTACACTTCAGGAATAATATTCCCCAAAATACTTTTTTTTGAGAGATATTTTGCTACAGGGTGTGTGTGCTCACAGGAGAGACAAGAGGCAGAATATGAGAAATCACCCACCAGGGTGGGCAACCACACCACAGCCCTCTCTCCTCCATTCTCCTCTTGGGATTCTGGGCACGCACACATACATGCCTGGCGTGAGTTTCAAGCCACTGGGGCTGGGACTTGAGCCATGGTCAACCAAGTGGAAGTCCAGTGCCTCAGCTACCACACCATCTGTTGGCCCACCCCAAATAATTTTTAAATAAGTTTCCTATATGATGGCATATACATTAATAGTCTATCCTCTTAGGTTTTAGTTTTACCTTCTGTTTATTTCTGGAAAGTCAAAACTCTATTTTCTTTTCATAGTTACTAAAATTCAGAATTATAATTGATAAATAAAAAGATGACATCTTGGGCCAGCAGGTGGCATGGAGATTAAGGTCACTGAATCCCACAAGGCATATTGCATTATTCAAGACCTAGACCCAGCATCTTGAAAAGCAAACCAGGCATCTTTGTATATATGCCCAAAATCCCGAGAAGAGATTGCACATGGCCATGCCTCCTGGGAAGTGATTTCTCACTTTCCCTCTCTCTGTCTCTCTCTGGCATATTTCAAAGGTAAAAAAGAACTAGATGGCTGAGTTGTTTAGATTACACTGAGAATCTAAATAAATTAGACCAGGGCCAGCTCCATGACCTGGTGGTTAAGGGAGTTGGATTCCTCATGACCAACTGTACCATTTGAATCCCAGCCGTAGCGGCTTGGGAAACATGCCAGGTACATGTGCCTGCATGCCCTGAATCTTGATGGGATACAGAAACAGAGGAGAAGGGATTGCAGTGTGATGACACCCCACTAGGGAAGGGGGTGCTTTTCCTCTCTTCCTGTCTTTTTATCTTTCTCTGGTGAGCACATGTGCCCTCTGGTGAATTATTGGATTTTCGGAAAAGTAGTGATACATTTTTACATAGAAAATATGTCATGACTTTTCTGACAACCCAATAAATAAATAAGGGTGATAATTAAATAAGGGCAAATTCAAGACTTTATTATATCCTTTCAAAGCCTCAACTAGATGGAACCTAATAGTCTGAGTTTTCTGCATTTTGTTCTTAGCTTTAACAAAAAATAGCCAGAAGTGTAATTGACCAAGAGGCATTCTTTATGTGAAAATTCTCTATTTCAATTGTAATTTTTACCATCTTCTCTGATTGGCTAATATGCCGCTTGAATTGCTTGATAATTGTGTGCATTTAAAGAGTTGTACATTTTGACTTTAAACATGTTCTGCTTTTTCTTTTGTTCATCTAGGATATCTGAATTACAAAACAAGGTAGCATATGACTGTGTACAACTCCATGGAGGTTGGGGATACATGTGGGAATATCCGATTGCAAGGTTAGTATGGTTGTTCTGTTACACTCTTCTTGATGTGAACGAAGAAAAAGTAAAATTTCTTTACTGTACTTTTTATATCAAGTATAGAGATAAAGGAGGAGTGAAAATATTTTCATTTTTTAATTGACTGCAGAATATGTTCAAACAAATTGTAGCAGCTTTATTTAATTGTATAATGACTAGGATCTTATCCCTTTTTATTGGTATTTAAAAAAAATTTTAATCATTTTTAAAGAAAGTGAACAGGTCTGACTTCATGGCCTAGTGGTTAAGGGAACCAAATCCCAAATGGTCAACCATGCAGCTCAAGTCCCAGACCCAGCAACTTGAAAAACATAACAGGTGTGTGTGTGAGCATGTCTTAAATCCCAAGAGGATGTAGAAAGGGAGAAGAAGGGATTGTGGCATGATCATCCCCCCTTGGAGTATGATTTCTTCCTCTCTGTCTCACTTTCTCTCTCTCTGTCTCTCTCTGGCAAGTGCGTACACCCTCTAGCAAATTATGTTTTTCTGAGATTTTTGCTATAGGGCACATTCATTTGCCAGAGAGACAGAAAGAGACAGAGAGACAGAAAGAGTGAAATCATCCCCCCACCCAGGGGATTGGCCACACCACAATCTCTTTTCTAGTCTCCTCTTGGGATCTTGGGCACACATACATGTGCCTGGCGAGAGTTTTAAGCTGCTGGGTCCAGAACTTAAACCATAGTCTACTAACTGGGAGTCCAGCAATGTAACCATTACACCATCTGCTAGTGCCCCCTCTGGCAAATTTTTCACCAATCAATCAATCAATAAATAAAAGACTATGAAGAGGCCATTATACTGAAAGTTGATGCTCGGCTTTGAGTCATTGTATAGAAAGATAGTTATCACTTTTTAATAAATGAACAATACAGAAAAATTAACCTACATGTGAAAAGGACATAAGATGTAATGTGTTAAATACTTTTTTATTTTGCTCTGAAAATAAAACAAAGATATTTATTTTTTCCAAATAGTTATTTCCCTCAAATTCAATGCAAATTTAACATATCTCCTTTTATTGTATGAAATGATGAATAGTCTTGTTAATATCAACCATAATATCAATTCATAAATAAGCAGTATCCTCTTTCATATTTCTTCCTCCATCTCTCTAATTTCCTCTTCCTTTTCCCTGTAGTCTTTCACCTCAGTAATCTCCCCATGGGATTTCTATCACTTTAGGAAATACAGTTTTCCTCTTATTTAACAGTATCTCCAGCATATACAATCTCCCAAGGAAGCTTTTTGCTATTTTTTTTGGTGGGTGGGGGGAGAGGTTTTTGCAATAGGGAGCATGCGCTCTCGCCAGACAGACAGAGAGACAGAAAGCAGGAAATCACCTCCCAGGGGGGATGGCCACGCCACAATCCCTTCTCCTCCATTCTCCTCTCGGGATCTTGGGCATGCACGCACACGCGCTCGGCGTGAGTTTAAGCCACCAGGTCCGGGACTCAAACCGCGGTTGACTACGTGCGAGTCCAGCGACATAGCCATTACACCAACTGCTGGCCCCGCTATTAATTTTTTTAAGACAGATTCTCAATTTGTTGCAATTCTCCTGCCTTATCCTCTGAGTAGTTGGAAATAAGGCATGTGTGGAATATAGGCATGTGTGGAATACAGGCATATATAGAACACAAGCAAGTGTAGAATACAGGCAAGTGCTGCTACCCCCACTCTCAGGTTGAACCAGGAGTAGGACCTGGACCTCCTACGTCACCCCAGCCTCTGGAGCAGCAGTGACTTAGCAGCTCATGCTGTGGGCTCCTATACCTGTGTATCTATAGATTATATCTATTAATTCACTCTTTTTTCATTCAATTTTTGTTATACAAAAAAAGTTCAATGTAATTCTGAATATGAGAACCAAACTACAATGAATTTCTAAATATTTCTAGTTTTTATCTAAATGTAGAATATCCGAGGGAAAAAATATAAAAACTCATATGCAATCTGGCAGCCTAACACTTTCAGATTTATTATTTTAGCAAGCATAATTGAAAATGTTAGCTGTGCTTATAGTCTTTACTGAGGAAAATAAACATTTTATTAAAGTTACATTAAAAACAGAAGCTCCAGAGTAGATATAATTTACTCATTTTCTCTAGCCATTTGGCAGCACAGAAAGCCTTAATCACGGGGTAAATATAATTTATAAACTTTTATAAAAAGTCAGCAACAACCAGACTTTTTTTCTGCTTGAGAATGTAGGCATGAACTAGCTAGACGGTTTTTTCTTTTATAAATTAATTCTTGGATGTGGGTTTTGGTATATACTTTCAGGAGTACTTTGAATGGGCCTTAATCAGAAGCAGACACTAAAAAAACAGAATCTTTGTATAGTCATGAAACCAGAAGTAAACTTTGAGTTAAGCTAGCACAAAATAAGTCACTAGAATTTTTCCCGTGTATTTTCATGTTTTGTTTATAATATTATATATCTTATTCATAATATTCAGGATGCTAAGAAAAGCTAAATAATAATTATGTTTATATTTTTCTACCTGACTCTGTTGTTCAACTGTTGCAGAGAATTGTAGACTTAGTGTGGATCAGTTTGTGTAGCTTAGTTAGGTTCTAAGAAAGACATCATTAGGTGAGGAAGAGGCAACTATCTAGATGATTTAAGATTGGCTTCGTAAGCCCTAGTCTCTGAATTTTCAGAATCAATTCCTTCAGGTCAGTAGTACGTAAAAAATTGTAGCTTGCTGGCTTATGTGAAATCCCTGTTTGCAGTTTAAGAGATTTATGTATTTTTTGGTATATACTTAAAAAAAAGTCAATTAGACCTATTAGACAATATGTTTATATAGTGTACAGACTTTGATAGGAAAATGATTCTAATTGTGTTTTCTTATATCCCTGAGATTAAGCTACAGTGTGTGTGTGTGTGTGTGTGTGTGTGTGTCTTGGTTTCAGAGACAAAGAGGTGTTTTGTGTTTGCTGTTTTTGTTTTTTGTTTATGTATGTGTGTGTGTGTGTGTGTGTGTGTCTTGGTTTCAGAGACAAAGAGGTGTTTTGTGTTTGCTGTTTTTGTTTTTTGTTTATATATGTGTGTGTGTGTGTGTGTGTGTGTCTTGGTTTCAGAGACAAAGAGGTGTTTTGTGTTTGCTGTTTTTGTTTTTTGTTTATATATGTGTGTGTGTGTGTGTGTGTGTGTCTTGGTTTCAGAGACAAAGAGGTGTTTTGTGTTTGCTGTTTTTGTTTTTTGTTTATATATGTGTGTGTGTGTGTGTGTGTGTGTCTTGGTTTCAGAGACAAAGAGGTGTTTTGTGTTTGCTGTTTTTGTTTTTTGTTTATATATGTGTGTGTGTGTGTGTGTGTGTGTCTTGGTTTCAGAGACAAAGAGGTGTTTTGTGTTTGCTGTTTTTGTTTTTTGTTTATATATGTGTGTGTGTGTGTGTGTGTGTGTCTTGGTTTCAGAGACAAAGAGGTGTTTTGTGTTTGCTGTTTTTGTTTTTTGTTTATATATGTGTGTGTGTGTGTGTGTGTGTGTCTTGGTTTCAGAGACAAAGAGGTGTTTTGTGTTTGCTGTTTTTGTTTTTTGTTTATATATGTGTGTGTGTGTGTGTGTGTGTGTCTTGGTTTCAGAGACAAAGAGGTGTTTTGTGTTTGCTGTTTTTGTTTTTTGTTTATATATGTGTGTGTGTGTGTGTGTGTGTGTCTTGGTTTCAGAGACAAAGAGGTGTTTTGTGTTTGCTGTTTTTGTTTTTTGTTTATATATGTGTGTGTGTGTGTGTGTGTGTGTCTTGGTTTCAGAGACAAAGAGGTGTTTTGTGTTTGCTGTTTTTGTTTTTTGTTTATATATGTGTGTGTGTGTGTGTGTGTGTGTCTTGGTTTCAGAGACAAAGAGGTGTTTTGTGTTTGCTGTTTTTGTTTTTTGTTTATATATGTGTGTGTGTGTGTGTGTGTGTGTCTTGGTTTCAGAGACAAAGAGGTGTTTTGTGTTTGCTGTTTTTGTTTTTTGTTTATATATGTGTGTGTGTGTGTGTGTGTGTGTCTTGGTTTCAGAGACAAAGAGGTGTTTTGTGTTTGCTGTTTTTGTTTTTTGTTTATATATGTGTGTGTGTGTGTGTGTGTGTGTCTTGGTTTCAGAGACAAAGAGGTGTTTTGTGTTTGCTGTTTTTGTTTTTTGTTTATATATGTGTGTGTGTGTGTGTGTGTGTGTCTTGGTTTCAGAGACAAAGAGGTGTTTTGTGTTTGCTGTTTTTGTTTTTTGTTTATATATGTGTGTGTGTGTGTGTGTGTGTGTCTTGGTTTCAGAGACAAAGAGGTGTTTTGTGTTTGCTGTTTTTGTTTTTTGTTTATATATGTGTGTGTGTGTGTGTGTGTGTGTCTTGGTTTCAGAGACAAAGAGGTGTTTTGTGTTTGCTGTTTTTGTTTTTTGTTTATATATGTGTGTGTGTGTGTGTGTGTGTGTCTTGGTTTCAGAGACAAAGAGGTGTTTTGTGTTTGCTGTTTTTGTTTTTTGTTTATATATGTGTGTGTGTGTGTGTGTGTGTGTCTTGGTTTCAGAGACAAAGAGGTGTTTTGTGTTTGCTGTTTTTGTTTTTTGTTTATATATGTGTGTGTGTGTGTGTGTGTGTGTCTTGGTTTCAGAGACAAAGAGGTGTTTTGTGTTTGCTGTTTTTGTTTTTTGTTTATATATGTGTGTGTGTGTGTGTGTGTGTATGTGTGAATAACTAGTTTAGCATATAGGTTTAATGCAGTCTTCCACATTTAGCTTGGGCCTGTGAGAAGTGAGATCTGATCTTTGCCATTTGAAGGCTTCTCTGCTATGCTAGGAGGAACCTGAGATGTGGAGCTTCCCTGCAGTCTGGTTAAACATTTTTCTCTGCTGCCTTTCTCTGTTAATTTTAGTTGATGACTGGATTTAACTAGTAACTTATAAAAGATCTACTGATCTTTGTCATTACCTCGTTGAAACTTTTTTAAAGTTGGGAAAAAAAATGCCCAACCCAGTCCAAAAATGTCTAGAAGCGTTGAGATTGCTGAAATAGACTGAAGTGCTAAACAGGAGCTCAGAAGGCAACTGCTGGATTTTGCGGAGAGCAGCAAAATTTGTTCAGAAAAATGTATGATTGAAAACAAATGTCTCTTGATTTTTAGAACCTTCACCAGAAAGTACTGAGAGTCTAAATTTCTGTTTCAGTACAGGAGATCAAATTAGTAAATATTCACTAATTACCCATTTTTTGCAAGGTGCCCTGATGAACATAGGAAAGGATAAATCTACAATTGTTCACATTTCTAAAAGACTGGCACATTTAATTTATCTTAAAAATTAAATTAAAAAACAAATTTTATGCTTGAAAAATTGCCTTTCAATTTAGCCATGAGGAAAGTCCATACTAAATAAGAAACTTAAAAGTGCTTGGGCCAGTGAAAGTACCGGGATATAAAAACAAAACAAAACCTTGCTAAGAGGCAGGATACCTCATACATTCTCATTTCAGACTGCCAATTTATTTATTATGTGGTCATTAAATAGCAATAATTAATTAGTAAATGTATTAACTTTTCTGAACCTCAGTTCCTGTATCTACTGAACAACAATAATAATGATTTCTCTCTGATCCTTTGGCTGAGAAGATGAAATGATAAGAAAATCTAAAAAACAACTGGACAGTGGCATGTTTGCTGTCACGGCTATCAAAAGTGAACTCCTGATATTATTTATCAATTTATTTATTTTTGTGGCAATGGACTTTGTCACTTAATATTTTAACCCCATACGTCACTGGATTGATTTTTTAAGCACTTTCTAAAAATAAATTATTTGCTAACTTTCTGGAAGTAATATTTTCTAAAGCATCAATTCATACTCCTGATACTGGTAATGGTGGTGGAATCTAAAGGGATACAGGAAAATATGTAAGTTTTTTCTCTTTTATTTTCAACAAAATTATTACTAATTTCTACAAAATTAAATTAAACATACTTATAGATGTTATTTTGAATTTGTAATCTCTTTAAGAAAATTAAAATGAACCTTGATGTAGTATCTTAGTGTTTTTTATAGTTATAGCAACCTAGGATAAATGCCGTAACTGAAAAAAATAAGTAATTTATAAAGGAGTGTATTGTTTGAATTTCATTAAATGAATATTTTAGTTAATAGTTACCTGGTGAGACAAAATGTACACTTCTTAATATCTTTTATTTATTCAATCAACTTCTGATTTATCCAGAGCTTACGTGGATGCCCGAGTGCAGACAATCTATGGCGGTACCAGTGAGATAATGAAGGAGCTGATTGCGAGAGACATCGTCCGTGACGAGTAGACATCTGCCCACATCCTGGAATCCTATTACAGCTAATCTGATTTTGAATCTACTCAAGATAAAATGTAACCTGGAAAGGGGGAAAACACTAAGCATGTTTTCATATTCTCTTCCTATAGAGAAAGATACCAAGAAAGATACACAATAAAACAAATCTTTGAACCCAAAGATTCTAAAATTCTCCAGTATATGGTTAAATTTTATTACATAGGTAAAAGTCAAACATTTTCTGATTCTAAAAACCTTAGTGTTTCACTTATCACTAAAATTCTAAAAAGTATAAATTGCTTAAATCTTTAAAATCGAGGCAGAAATAATTTTATATCGTCATACTCTAAAAACAATATTTACAGACATTGACTTTTAAAGGAAACATCAACATAATTTAGGAGGCAAAGCCATTCCAGCTATCTTTTGCTCCAAATTCCCTACAACCATGGGTTCCACCACTCTACCCCAAACCCATTTTCTAAAATGGAATCCTTTCTTCAAACAAATGTTCATGCTCGATATCTCGGTGAAACGAAACATGAGGGACCAGCAGACGGTGTAATGGTTTCATCACTGGACTCCCACATAGTTGACCACAGTTCATAGCTTAAAACTCACTCTGGGCGCTTGAGTGTGTATGCCCAAGATCCCAAAAGGAGAATGGAGGAGAAGGGATTGAGGTGAGGCCATCCCCCAAGCGGGTGATTTCTCGTTTTCTGTCTCTCTGTCTCTCTCTCTCTCCAGTGAATGCATGTACTCTATAGTAAAAAATCTCTCTTAAGAAGAAAATGAAACATGAATGAATAAGGAGTTAGCCTGGTTGAGACAGAAAGTCTTTTTGCCTTCCTGCCTTGAAACTTGGAGGACTCAGCTAAGTATCTCCTAGCCCTGAGCAGGCGATCCACTTGATTCTCTCCACTACTGACACCTGGGCTTTTTCAACAGATTTCCATTGCAGTTTTTAGGAAATCACAGAACAATCCATCATCCTTCGGCTTTGAGATAATGACATATTTTATATAAATCAAAGCAGTGGCTCTTAATTTGTTACACAACACTGTAATTTATTTGTTAATTTAACAGATACTTTCTGTCTTTCATAAACCAGGCTGTTAAAAATACAACGGCACATAAAAATGGCAAGTTTGCTGGGACCAGCAATTGGCGCAATGGCTATGTCGCTGGACTCCCATGTAGTTGACCATGGTTCGAGTCCCAGACCTTGTGGCTTAAACTCACGCTGGTGTGTGTGCATGTGCATGTGTGTTCAAGATACGGAGAAGAGAATGGAGGAGAAGGAATTGCAGTGTGACCATCCCCCCTGGGGAGTGATTTCTCGCTTTCTGTCTCTCTGTCTCTCTATAGCAAAAATCTCTCCTCCCAAAAAAATGGCAAGTTTGCTACTAATAAGTAAATGAATAAACAAATAAGTAGGAATTATTAAATAAGGTAGTAAGTAAATAAATAAGATAATTTTAAATTATAAGTGCAATAAAAGAAATAAAGCAATAATTGAAAATAGTAAAGTGAGGAAATGACATTTGATTTGAAATGTACAAGCAATTATTAACAAAAATAAATAATTTTTATAACTGGGATTTCTCGGTACCTGTTTTTCTTTGCATATATAGTGAGACACTGAATAAAGTAGTTTAAAAATGGACACAGATGTATTCTTATTCAACTTAGAATACTTAAACATCTTATTTGATATTGCTGGTATTAAATAAACATTTTTTAATACAGCCTTTACAACTGGATAGAGTAGAGAGAAGAGAAAATATTTTGAAACTTTTAAATTTTAATTAATTAATTAATTCGCTATAGGGTGTTTGCCTGAGAGAAAGAGAGAGAAAGTGTTCTCACATCTGAGTTCCAAGTAGGAATGGCCATGCCACAATCACTTCTCCAGTCTCCTTTTGGGATTTTAGGTGAGAACTCATACACGTGCGTGATTGTCAAGCTGCCGGGTTCCAGACTGGAACTTGCAGCTGGCCATGTGGGATCCAGTGCCTTAACATCCATACCACCTGCTAGCACCAATGCCATTTTCCCTCCTTCCTTCCTTCCTTTCCTTCCTTTTATTTATTTAGTTATTTTTTTTAATTTTCACCATCTTGCATGAGAGAGACAATGAGAGGGAAAGTGAGAAATCACTCTCCGGCTGCTCCAGGCCTGCATACTTCAGCACAATGTTATTATAAACTAGGAGGCAATGTACTATGACTGACAGTTACATAGGCAATGCATGGACTGGGAAAAGCAGTCATGAATGGTTTTATCCAAAGAAAGAGAGCAGAAATTTCTACTGGAAGACCTAAATCTATTTCTCTCTCTCTCTTACACACACACACCAGTTACATCGGCAATGCACGGACTGGGAAAAGAAAGCAGTCATGAATGGTTTTATCCAAAGAAAGAGAGCAGAAATTTCTACTGGAAGACCTAAATCTATTTCTCTCTCTCTCTTACACACACACACACACACACACACATAGACTCAGAGCTATTAGTCTCCTAGAGCTAGAAGTTGGTTCTGATAATTTTTATATGTCAGAAAGTAAGATGATTTCTAAGGTAGAATTTTTTGGGGGGGAGGGGGGAGGTTTTTTGCTACAGGGCGCATGCGCTTGCCAGACAGAGAGAGACAGAGAGACAGAAAGCGAAAAATCACCCCCCAGGGAGGATGGCCATGACGCAATCCCTTCTCCTCCATTCTCTTCTTGGGATCCTGGGCACACATGCACATACGCCCACCATGAGTTTCAAGCCACCAGGTCAGGGACGCGAACCGCGTTCGACTACGTGGAAGTCCAGCGACATAGCCATTACACTAACTGCTGGTCCCTTCTAAGGTAGAATTTTTATGCAATAATCTCTGGGATGTTTTCTCTCTTCAAGGCCAGTGGTTTTCATTATCTTACTGTCTTCAGTCTTGCTTTACACCTCCTAAAGAAGCATGTGTTGTATCAGGAGAGCTAAAAACATAAAAGAGAATTCAGAACATGCTTCTTAACCTTTCATTTGGTTTTCATTTCTTAAACAGCTAATCCTCTGTTTTGCTTGTGTGGCTTTGATTGTTGTTCCCTAGGGAGGGAACTTATCATCTGTATCTCATGCAGTGCTGAGTGCTCAAGGAACGATAAATAATAATAATGTTCAAAAGAACAGGCTGGACCAACACAGCGAGAAAGCACCACTGTGTAAATATTAATGAGAATTTAAAAGCCTAGTAATTTTGTTTTTCAGCTGAGATTTTTAGGATCATAATTATTGCTTTAAAATCAGGTTTGCCCTTCATTTTCTTTTAAGGGCGTCATTGAAAACTGTTCTGCCTTGCTGTTTTAAAATCTATCTCTGGAAATCTTTACTAATCTAGTAGTTTTAGTAGTTTATTGCTTAAAGTATAAAATGTCTAGGAGATTATTTTTCATGCCAGTATTATTTTTGGCACATGCAGCATTTATTTACTTAGGGTCACTGGAAAGATTTGACATTGACATTGAAATTAATTGTAGGCCTGTGTCTACTGCTTTACAATAAATATTGACAAGAAATTCTCTCTTTTTTTAAAAATCTCATTTTCAAGGAAAAATTATGGAGCACTTCAAATATACTACAAAACAGGGTATAGTATGATGAACCTCTAGCTTTGACATTTGCTAGTCTTTCACCCCTACTATTTTCCTCAAGTATCTTAAGGAAAATTTCTAACCTCATACTATTTCATAAACATAGATATTTCAAAGTATGTTCTCATATATCAAGATTTTTTTTTTTTATGTAGTCACTAGGTCATTATCACACTTTAAAACTTAAATTTAGGGACCAGGAGATGTCATAATGGTTACGTCGCTGGATTCCCACGTAGTCGACTGCAGTTCAAGGCCAGACCTGGCAGCTTAAAATTTACATCGATAGGGGCCAGCAGGTGGCATGGTGGTTAAAGGCGCTGGACTCCCACATGGCTGACCCTGTGGTTCGAGTCTTGGACCTAGTGGCATGCTTTCTCACTTTCTCTCTCTCTCTGTCTCCCTCTGGTCAAATTAAAAAATAATAATAATAAATGGAATTAAATAACTAAATAATTATTAAAAACAAAATAAAACAAAAACTGACACCGATAGCATTTGTGCGTGTGCCCAAACTCCCAGGAGGAGAATGGAGGAGAAGGGATTACGACTTGGCTGTCTCTCTCTCCCCCAGGGGGTGATTTCTCGTTTTCTGTCTCTCTTTCTCTCTGGTGAGAGCATGCACCATTTAGTAAAAATCTCTCTTAAAAAAATCCTTAAATTTAACATATAATTTCAAACGTACATTAATGTTCTTGATTGTATTAAAAATGCCTTAAATTGATCCACAAATGGCATTTGGTTTTTTGTTTACTTTATAATAGTCCCAAGTCTCTTTTGTTTTATAATAGTCCTTCCTTTTCTCTTTCTTTCTCTTTTTCTTTTTAAATTTCATTTTTAAATAAATAGACTTGGGGCCAGCAGGTGGCATAATAGTTGGGGCACTGGACTCCTATGTGGTCAACTGTAGTTTGAGTCTTGAAACTCATGCCAGGTGCATGTGCATCCATGCCCAAAATCCCAAGAAGAGAATGGAGAAGAAGGGATTGCAGTGTGGCTATCCCTCCTAGGGGTGATTTCTTGCTTCCTCTCTCTCTGTCTGGCAAGCACACACACCCTATAGCAAAAATATCTAAAATATAAATAAATACATAAATAAATAAATTAAGAAACAGACTGCATATTTGTCCCTTGTTTTGTATGCATAACAATAAAGTTATTTATTCACTTTTCAGAATTTTAGCATGTGTAGATTCATTAACAACTACCACATGAGGCATGAATTAATCTCTCATTCCTTTTTGGTTACTACGTAGTATTCCATTATATGGCTGTCCCACTGCTGATTTATTCATTCACCAGCTTAAGGATGTCTTGATTAAGCTTAAATCTTAACCTTGCTATGGTTACATACCCAGGTGATGAGTTATTGGACCACATGGTAAGCATGTTTAACTTTATAAGAAACTGCCAAGCTATTTTGTACCATTTGCCTTCCCACCATCAAAATGAGAATTCTCCATCACTTGTTTTTTATTTTGGCCATTATAATAGATGTGTAGTAGTAATCTCATAGTAGTTTTAATTTATTACATTTCCCTGTTACATAATGAGATTG